TACATACATATACACATGCACACATACATATATGCATACACATACATATACATATAAATTTGAGTGAGCATACATGTGTTTGCATTGATGCTGCATGAATGTATGGGTGTTGGGGAGGGTGTAGACGTGAGTGGACACATGGTAGTCAGTGTGAGAGTGTGACTGGTGATGCTGTTGTGTATGCTGTTGCTGTGTGGTATTGAGCTCCCAAGGGCAGGCAGATGAAGAACTCTAGAGCCAAAACCCCTTATAATTTATAGCCCCAGCTGCCTGAGAATGGCAAGATCCAGCTCACGGCTCCAACTCCCAGATGCCTTCTTCCAGTTCTTACAAATTCTAGGTAGAGACAGGTGGGTCCCTTCCATACGTGATCCACAGATCTTATGACAGTCCTGGACACACACGAACATCCCTGTCCTAGAGATGGCACCCTTCTCAGGTGCCTTCATTAACCACATACTTCACAAAGAGGCCCCCTACTCCACAAAGCCTTTAATATCAGAGTGTCAAGATATACCTCCCCACAGCATTGCTGGGCCCGGGTGAAGGGATTCATGTGGACATAGAGACTCAGTCTTCCTTGTGGCCATCTGGAAAGACTAAGAACCATTGAATTTATCACAAAGTTGAACAACCAGAAGTGAAGTGCTGGGCCCAGGCACAAATGCAGAGCAGATATCCAGGAGTCCATAGGTAAATGACAAATTGCCCATGCAGAAGCATCCCAAATCATTCATTTATGCAGGCATTGGCCCTGGGCAGGTGACACATGACTCCACCCCTTCAATGTGGAATGGGGCTACAGGTAACCAGTCCTCAAACCTGTACTCACCTCCAAGGGACTCGGCCAATTATACCACTATCAAAGTTTGCCTGAAACACACACACACACATACAGACACAGAGGAACAACTCACAAGCCTTCTAAACAACACACCAAACACCACAACCTGAGAGGAGCTGAGGCCCTAATCTCTAAGCACACTCCCAAGCCTGTGCCCACCATATGCACAGAGCATAGTCAAGTGGACACACAACAGCCTGGGACCATGCAGAGCTGAGCTCAAAAGCTTGGGGACACCAATACACCAATGTTCTCTGGGATTGAGTTTGGAATGTTCTCCAAAAACTCATTATTGAAAGCTTGGTCCCAACAATAGCGATGTGAAGAGAAAGGGCTTTGGGAACATGACTGGGTCATGAGGACTCCGTTCTCATGGATGGATTAGGCCATTGATGAGTTCTTATTGAACTGCGTGGGCGGGGATCAGGGTCTGGTTGGAAGAGGTAAATCACTAGGAGTGAGTTTGCCCTCGATCAGGGTATAATTGTCTCATGACTGCGTTCTTTGTTTCCTGGACACTGAAATGACCAGCTTATCAGGATATCTCATGCCATCCTAGCCCCAGAAACAACCAAGCCAGCCAAGCACGGCCTGAAACCTCTGCATAGGAGCTAAATAAATCCTTCCTCACTAAACTGACTTTCTCGGATATTATGCCACCAGAGACAGAAAGCTGACTAACACAGAGGCTCACAGTCAAGTCCAAGAGCCAGATTCTTCAGACCCTGAAGCCTGGGGATCCAAATCACTCTGTCCCTCCTGCTCCCCAGGGTTACTTTTGAGTAATTTTGTGCTCATTTCTGTTTATTCTTTTATGACACCATGACACCTTGGATGCCTTGCTATTTAGAAAAACAACAGCCACAATCTTTCTACTGTGAGCTAGCAACTCCTGGTGTATAAACACATCTCTGTTATGCCACAGAGGAACAACTCAAAGCTTACTTCTTTATTCAGTTCTCCCCAAGCCAAGGATCTGCCCTCCAAAGCATACAGGGCAAGGCACTTAGTCAGTAGAGACAACCTCCTCTATCATGGTCCAAGCATCTCCAAGTTACACTCTCCTATTCTTGTTCATGTTTACCTACCCTCTTCCTCCTCCCTCCTCCTCCTCCCTCCTCCTCCTCCTCCTCTTCCTCTTCTTCCTCTCCCTCCTCCTCCTTTTCCTCCTCCTCCTCTCCCTCCTCCTCCTCCTCCTTTTCCTCTCTCACCTTAGAAGCATCCTGCCCATCCCCCACAGCCCTGTGCAGCAGCACAAGAGGCTTCCTACTCGAACTGCGAGCAACACTGTTTCCTCTCACTCCATGTCCTCAGCCTGCCCTACCTGAGGAAACAAATCTACATATAGATTTACCCTTATTCCTTACCTCATGCTTGCAGGAAGCAACCAGTTGCTGTCTTCCGAAGAGAAGTGGCTAGGACAACAGACACAGCTACAGGCCTGTGGTCTGACAGCTCCTATTGCATTCTATATGGATGTGGTCATGCTCTGTCTCACTTTAATCACCCCAATGATGACTCCGAAAGGGGGACACTGATGACAGCAACACTGAACCAGACCCTCTCAAGGGGCTTAGGGAACTCCAGGTTGGCTAGCCCCATCCTCTGGTATCAGGTTTGGTCCTCTCCCTTCACCGGGACTCGGCACTCCCTTCAACAGATAGGCATCTCGGAACTGAACAACTATACCAAGCAGAGAGGGGTCCCTCAAGGATGTTACTCAGTTTTCTGGCTCTAACAATTTGGACCTAGACAGAGGTCCTACTCAGAACTCAAGAGATAGCACAGGAACCAGCTTGGGGTAGCTACCTGCACTACCTGAACCACCTCTGGTCTCAAAGTTGCCAAGTGTCATACCACTCTGGGTCGTTGTGTCTGGATCCCCAGTCTCAAGCCCACTGATTCACGGAAGGTTCAGTCCCTTTGTTGTAGCGCTGCCTCTGGAGCTCTGTATGTGCACATAGGGAGGTACCGTGGGGTCGGAATTGGTGTGAAGTCACAGTAACCTTACCACTCTGGTCAATGTCCAAGAAGAACAGGCCTCCTGGGTCCCAAGAACTAAGCCCCATCATCTCTTAGTGGCCCCTTCCCTATGTTGCTGCGGCTTCCATAACTCCTGTTCCACAGAACTTATCCGGGGGCCCAGCACGTGCGCAATCATACAGGCCAAACAGACAGGCCATCTGCGGTCACAGTCCAAAGTCCCCAACTTTGACCGAAGATCTGTGTTTCCATTCTGATAGGCTCTGCTGGTTCCATGACCTTCTTGCCTCCAGCTCTGCATTCGGGAACACCCAAATTGAAAGAGGACTTACTGGTCCTTTCGTGGGGGGGGGGGGGGGGGGAGGGCGCGGGGACTGAGGCTTTCAAGGATGCTGTGCTAAGAAGGAGTTGCAGCATTCAGCCTGGGCAGCGGCTGAGCCCCAGGTTCGGCTCAAAAACACCTACCCACAGCTCTTGCAGGCCAGCAGAGACCAAGACACCTCACCACGCCCTCAAAGAGCCAGAGGTAAGGCAAACAAATAAATAAGCTTTTAATAAGGCAACAGGTGCCCGGTGGCTGTGCGTAGCCCGGGCTGCTGGATGCCCTGGGCAAGCGCAGACATGGAGGAGGCCTCTCCCCACTGTAGCTGGGCAGACAGCTTTCCATGCGGGAGGACGCGGGTGGCCCCCGGGTTTGGAACAAACACATTTATTGCCGGAAGGGTGAGGCGAGCGGCTCACCAGGCAAAGAGTGGTTTACTGTCCTCCTTGGAGAGTTCACACAGGCAATTCAGCAGTAGCAGGGAGTCACCCAGGAACTTGGGCGGGACAATGTCAATGACGAGCTTGCGCAGTGCAGCCGGGCTGCTGTGCAGTGGGTTAGCCCGCAAATCCGGACGCTGCTTCAGGATGCCGTAGGTATTGATGAGAAACTCACTAAACACCGGGTGTACCTCGCGGCTGTAGCCCAGCTTCTCCAGCCTTGCGGTCAGTGTCAGATAGCGATGCGTCAGCTCCCGCAGCTTCTTCTCATCCACGGAGCCGTCTAGGGACTTGATAGACGTCTAAGGGACACAGAGCAGAGGAAACGAGGCACCGGGTCAGAAAAGCCCCTGACTCTAGGAGGTAGGTGGGAAAGGCAGACTTGGAGGCTTAGGGGAGAACTGGACGCCCTTATCCCCTTCCGCACTTCAGAAGGATGAGCCCTTGTCCCTTGTAGGGAAGGGGAAGGTTACACTTGGACCCGAGAAGAGTCAGGTGTCTGCAAGGACTTGCCAATACCAGGATGTGCCTGTCCCAAGTACCAGCCCTGAGCTGGGGCAATAAAGCGTACCTGCTTGATCTTCTCAGGGATATTGGACACTGTGAAACCATAGAGGCGAGTCACCCCTGGGAACACATAGGCCAGGATACGCCGGTCAAGCTGGAATGCGATCTCTCCAACGATGCGGCCATCCTTCTCAGCACCCGCAAAACTCTGGATCTCTGGGTAAGACAGGTACCATCCTGACCATTTCAAGGTACCAAGGTACCTTCGCCTCCCCATTGCCAGAATATAGGAAAATCTTTTTTTAAAAAAACTGAGGTATTTGGAGCCGTAGAGGGGGACCATCCCTCTCTGTTTGCTCTCAGCGTGTTTTCCTGGGACCTGGACACACAGCTCCCTCTCTGTCTGAGAAGCCAAAAGCCATGTGAACCTGCAGAAGATAGTGAGTCCCTTGGGAAGGATGATACCCAAGTCTATCCAGAGAGAGTGGGGCTCTCCCCTGTTGTTCTCAGATGCTGCTCTGCCACCCCACCAACTCAGCCTTCTCTGAGGACAGCGGGGACATCACAGCCTGGCTCTGGAAAGAGCCAGACTCATCCGGTCTACAACATTGCCACCAAAGGCGGGCTGATGTCTGACAGTTCAGTATCAACTCTATCTCGCCCATGGCTATGGAGAGGATGACAGACTTACTGAAGATGCTCTTCTTATTCTTCTTCTTAAACTTCTCAGGACTACCCTGAATCCCCCTAAAAACGGTCCCCAAATAACCCCTCTCCACACAACAGCTTCTGGTATAATAGAAGTCATCATCAAACAATATAGTACATATCCATATCCTTTCAAAACCTCGTGCTCTTTAGAAAATGAACCTCATCTGAATTTAGAAGACCTGTAGAAAACACTGCTATATCTACAGGGCCTTGTTGACCACTCACACTCAGATGAATGTAAGCTGGACAGTCCCTCTCAGTTCAATTTCCACATTACAGAGCACAGGACGGCAGCACAGGTGACTTAGCCCAGGGAACCCCGCATCCTACGCCCCACATGCTACACCCCACATGCTACACCCCACATGCTACACCCCACATGCTACACCCCACATGCTGTGCTCATTTAGAGGCATCACCCCTCAGCTGCACACTTCCATCCTGACAGAAAACATAGGCCAGCAGACTAACACCTAGGCAAGACCCGAGACTCACACCCCCGGACAGGATGTCAGTTTGGGGAGGTCCTATGGGTCTGACGCAGAGGCTTCAACACTGTATGAATAGTGCTACATGGCTCAGGAACTCCAGGCCCTGTGTGCATTATGGCAGCTCAGCACTCACATGCAAGGCACTGATAGCTGTATAGAGATGTGAACACTGGACCCTCATCCCTGCTGGCGGTGCCTTGTGACCTTGAGCTTTTAGTGGGGGGGGGGGGGGGTGATCCAGAATGATTTGTTATCCTCCTTACCATCATGGGGACACGCTCCAGGGCTAGCTCTGCCTATATGACCTTGGTCAAACAGTTGTTCAACAAGTATCAAGCCCTGAGCCAGGGATACACACTGACCAGGACATTAGCGTGCTGAAAAGCATGCACTACTGTGAGTACCAGTAAGTGAGACAACCAGGAAGAAGCTTGGATAGACAGGGAAAACAGGAACCCCAACTTGGGCTCACAGAGTAGGGAACAGGACAGACAAGAAGCCAGGCCGTTGGTCTATGTAGCTGGGCATTTGGAAGTAGCGTCAGCTAGTATTTCCCTTGCAGGACCAGCCTCTCTCAAGTGTGCTTTCAGAAGCACTGACAATGCCAGTCAGTGCAGAGAGGCTGAGGACACATCTCCTGCCCTCCTGCAGAGTCCCAGGTGGCAGAAGGACTTTGAGTTTTTGGTACCTACAGATCTATATTCTCCCCATCATCTTCTAGGGAAAACAACCAGTAGGCATAGACCAGTATAGAGGCTGAACTTTGCTATTCTCTGTGACCTTGGCTTAACTACTTAGAAGAAGAGATATCTTTCTCAAAGACAGTAGCCCTCATAACAGGTAATGTCCTTCCCAGCATAGAAAGCCAGCAGCAGCTAAGCCAACAGCCCTCAGATGTGCAACCTGCTTTCATTTCTTAACTTTGGAACAGACGGTTCATCTGCATGAGAACCCTTTGAGTGACCCTCGGAATCCAGTACAGCTGAGGCTGGGGTCACCTGATTGCCCAGCCAATTGGAAACTCCTTATCAGAATGCAACTCACACACTATAAAAGCCCTTCCTCTTTCAAGCAGCAGACTCTATGATCACTATTATACACAGAGAGCCGCACAGCCATCACCACTATCTCTTTCCGGAAGTTTCCAAGACCCCCCAAAGCAAGCAAATGCCGTTCTATTCCCAATCGCTTTTCAATCTCCAGCCCCTGCAACTACTCCTCTCGTGGATTTATCAAAGACGGGCATGTCACATAGTTGGAGCTACACAGTGGGCACCCTTCTACGTCTGACATCATCCAGTTAGCATAACCTCTTCAGGATCCACCTTTGCAAGCCAGCACTTCATTATCTCTATTGCCATTTGAAAGATACCCCAGCAGATAAACAAGCAACATTTTATTCATCTGCTCGTCCGTTGACGGGTGTTTGTATTGCTTGCCTCTTTGGAGTATTATGAATGAAGCCGTGATGGACGCCTGTGTCAAAGTTTCTGTGTGAACAGATGTTTTCATTCCCTAGGGTTTCTGGGTCGTAACTTTATGATCTTTTGAGGATATGCCAGACTCTCTACCTCAGTCAGCTGTCCTATCTTGTGTTCCCATCCGTGCTCAAAGAAGATCCCTTTTCCTGCTGTTTTACAGCCGATGGAGATGGGGCACGGAACCCCCTTGGGGCTCTCCTTACACTGTTAACGATGCATATTGGCCATTCTGCCCAAACCCTCTGCACATCTTTTACAGACAGTCTTGCAGTGCAGCCCAAGCTGGTCTAAAACTAGAGATTCTTTTGTCTCCATCAGCTAAGCCAACGGTTCTCAACCTGTAGGTCAAACAACCCTTCCACAGGGGTCGCATATGAGAGATCCTGCATATCAGATAGTCATACTGCGATTCATAACGTTAGGAAAGTTATAGTTATGAAGTAACAATAAAAATAATTATATGGCTGGGCAGTGGTGGTGCATACCTTTAATCCCAGCACTTGGGAGGCAGAGGCAGGTGAATTTCTGAGTTTGAGGCCAGCCTGGTCTACAGAGTGAGTTCCTGGACAGCCAGGGCTACACAGAGAAACCCTGTCTCGAAAAACCAAAACCAACTATGGAATGCAAATGGGGTTTTGTTGTGTTTTAGTTAGTTTATTTGTTTTTCAGACAGGGTCATACTCTGTAGCCCAGGCTGGCCTAGGAATCATTATATAGCCCAGGCTGACTTGGAACTCAAGGTGATCCTCCTGCCACAACTTCCTATGACCTGAGATTATAAAACTGAGCTACCACATCCTACAAGAGTCCTTATAAACTCTAGAACTATCCTTATACCAATACATGATTTACAAATATTTCCTACAGTGACTTTTCTTTTCTTGATGTTCCTTCAAGCCTGGGAGATTTTTCATTGGGCAAAGGAGTTTGGTGTATCTATCTTTGGTGGTTGCACAGGTTTTGGGTATCATACCTAGAAACCCATTGCCAAGGCAATGAAGACTGAACACTGTGCCTTTAAGTCTTGTGTGTTTGGAGATTCTTAGATTTCTCAGGCATTTTCATATGCTTAGTTGATTTTTACATATGACATGAGGGACAGCCCGACTTCCTTCTTTGTATGTACACCCCCAGTGTCCTCCCTCCACTGAATTGTCTTAGCAACACTCTAAACGCATGAGCTTGCTGCTGGCTCATATCTCCCACTGACACGTATGTCTATCCCACAATGACTCCTATGACGGTCTCGATTGCTGTAGCTTTACAGTAAATTTAGGATTGGAAAGTATGAGTCTTTTGTTCACTTTTTTTTTTCTTTTTGGTTTTTCAAGACAGGGTCTCTCTGTGTAGCCCTGGCTGTCCTGGAACTCACTCTGTAGACCAGGCTGGCCTCGAACTCAGAAATCCGCCTGCCTCTGCCTCCCTACTGCCTGGCTCTTTGTTCACTTTTTAAAAGCTGTTTTTTACCTGTCCTGGGTCCTGTCTATTTCATTATAAAAATAAGGTTCTGTTTACTTTTTCATAGAGAAACTAGCTAGAATTGATAAGAGTTGCAATGATCTATTGGTTATTATTAATATTGACCGTTAAACAATATTAAGTCTTCTAATCTATAAATACAACTGTCTTGGCTAGTGAAAGTGTTATGCCTTCCGATGTGTTTCTTTCTTACTCATTTTCCAAAGTTGTGGGTATTAAAAGCCCAGGAATGAGAATCAAGCTGGAAGCTGCCCTGATGCTGGCAGTTTTTATAGGGGTAGAAAGTGCTATGAAAATTTGCTAGGAGAAAATCACCCCTCTTACCCAGCAGTGGAAATGCTTTAATACTGCCTGCCAAGCAGGATGTGCCCATGATACCACAATAGCATGATTTTTATAGGAGTAATCAACCACTTTCTGCTTGGATCTGAGACCACAGGGCTCCACAAGTAGGAAGAGGACCGGCTTTTGATAAGACACTAAGGTCATGCCATGAGGAAGAACCATCTTTTCAAGTGTTGGTGCTGGAGTAACTTCTACATGCAAACCTCATACTACAGACAAAACCCCAAACTCTTGTCCCTAGTCAGAGGCCTAAATCCAAAAGCTTTAGCTATGAAACTTCTAAAAAGTTAAAGAGCGTCTATAACTTTGGGCTTAACAGAGAGTTCCCAAAGTAGACACAAAAAGCACAAACGACCAAAGAAAACTATCAGGAAATTCTACTTGACAATGTTCAAGTTTCACCCTGTCCCCAGCCAAACAGTAAACAGTGGGAAACTCTCAGACCTGGAGACAATATCCAAAGAACATAAACCCAAAAATGACTTAGATGTGGAACCACATGAAGAGATATCTTTTTCAGCTAAATATTGAGAATGGGCTAGCATTTCCATTTTTCTTTTTCTTTTTTTTTCTTTTTTTTTTTTTTTGGTTTTTCGAGACAGGGTTTTTCTGTGTAGCCCTGGCTGTCCTGGAACTCACTCTGTAGACCAGGCTGGCCTTGAACTCAGAAATCTGCCTACCTCTGCCTCCCAAGCGCTGGGATTAAAGGCGTGCGCCACCACTGCCCGGCAACCATTTTTCTTTTTCAAAAGGCCAAACAGACCTAATTCTGGACCCAGGCGTACCCTAGCGCCCCTCCCCACTCTTCCCCACTGGAGAAGCTAGTCACAGTCAGGTCTCTGAAATGTGGTTTTCCCACCCGGGGCCACCTCTGTGTACCATACCATTGAGGTAATAGGTCCTCCTGCTCCTATCCCCAGTGGGCAGGTTACTCTCCGAGAAGCACACCTTCTTAGGTCGCGAGATTTCCCTGGGCTCAAGCAGGGTTTTGTCAGCCAGGGAGTCCTGCAAGGGACTCAGGAGTGGGGTCAGCTTCCTGTCAGCGATTCGTGCGTGTAGTTCTGGAGGGCTGAGGAAGGACTTGAAAGGCATCTGAGAGGTAGTTGCACAGCCTGGGGAAGCGTCGTCCTCACTGGAGAGCGGGGCGTGTGAGCATAGCAGGTCCTCCAGAGAGGATGTCTGTAGCTGGGGTGGTGTGTCAGAGACACTGGCAAACCTTCCAAAATCTGGACCTGGGGTGAAAAAAAGGACAATAAGTCTGACTGGAGATACTCACAGAGACACATCAGGAAGCATGGGATTTGTGGATGCAAACTACCAGAGGTGTGCCCCTCCCTCT